TGCTTTCGTATGTATATGGTTTGGTTCGTGTGTGAAAAATGGTGTTGGACGGTGCTACCACTGGGAGATATCAACAGAAAATGGTGTGTGAAATTTATACAGACTTTTAATTGCGTCTTAAATTGCAAACATTTTCCATATAATTACTGTTATGTTTTTCAATTCATTATCACTAGCAAATAAATACATTTATTTATGCAATTGCGTATTTCATGTTGACAAACATACCTCAGTATGGTAAAATAGATCATTTGAAACCATACAGTAACTGTAATTACTAGTAGAACTGAACCTTAACATCATTCGATTGCATATTTTTTCTTCGTCTACAAATTTGGCTAGTCGTCAAGGAGTATAAAGACAATTTTAATGAATTAAAAAAGGTTTTGGAATCATTTATTTTTTCTTGCATTACAGAAAACTGCAGTGTTAAATTGATATGCTGGAAAAAGTATTTGAGTTAAAAAATACATGCGTTTGTATAATAGATATTGTTGACATGATTATGTGAAGTAAAATATTTCAGATTTTTTTATTTTTCTCTTGTCTGTCTATAGATTATGTCAGATGACTAATTGTACATAAAATATACATGTGTATATGCATGTGCTAATTAACTTTAATAACATATTTTTTAAATTTGATTTCTTTCATCTTCATTAGAAGCTTATAAACCCAGAGTTCTTTACACGAACATCTATCGATAAGGTCTACAACAAGAGATGACACACTCATATGGCTAGTCTATAGTCTAGTCTATAGTCTAGTCTATAGTCTAGTCTATAGTCTAGTCTATAGTCTAGTCTATAGTCTAGTCTATAGTCTAGTCTATAGTCTAGTCTATAGTCTAGTCTATAGTCTAGTCTATAGTCTAGTCTATAGTCTAGTCTATAGTCTAGTCTATAGTCTAGTCTATAGTCTAGTCTATAGTCTAGTCTATAGTCTAGTCTATTGTCTAGTCTATAGTCTAGTCTATAGTCTAGTCTATAGTCTAGTCTATAGTCTAGTCTATTGTCTAGTCTATAGTCTAGTCTATATAGTCTAGTCTATAGTCTAGTCTATAGTCTAGTCTATAGTCTAGTCTATAGTCTAGTCTTAGTCTAGTCTATAGTCTAGTCTATAGTCTAGTCTATAGTCTAGTCTATAGTCTAGTCTATAGTCTAGTCTATAGTCTAGTCTATAGTCTAGTCTATAGTCTAGTCTATAGTCTAGTCTATAGTCTAGTCTATAGTCTAGTCTATAGTCTAGTCTATAGTCTAGTCTATAGTCTAGTCTATAGTCTAGTCTATAGTCTAGTCTATAGTCTAGTCTATAGTCTAGTCTATAGTCTAGTCTATAGTCTAGTCTATAGTCTAGTCTATAGTCTAGTCTATAGTCTAGTCTATAGTCTAGTCTATAGTCTAGTCTATAGTCTAGTCTATAGTCTAGTCTATAGTCTAGTCTATAGTCTAGTCTATAGTCTAGTCTATAGTCTAGTCTATAGTCTAGTCTATAGTCTAGTCTATAGTCTAGTCTATAGTCTAGTCTATAGTCTAGTCTATAGTCTAGTATAGTCTAGTCTATAGTCTAGTCTATAGTCTAGTCTATAGTCTAGTCTATAGTCTAGTCTATAGTCTAGTCTATAGTCTAGTCTATAGTCTAGTCTATAGTCTAGTCTATAGTCTAGTCTATAGTCTAGTCTATAGTCTAGTCTATAGTCTAGTCTATAGTCTAGTCTATAGTCTAGTCTATAGTCTAGTCTATAGTCTAGTCTATAGTCTAGTCTATAGTCTAGTCTATAGTCTAGTCTATAGTCTAGTCTATAGTCTAGTCTATAGTCTAGTCTATAGTCTAGTCTATAGTCTAGTCTATAGTCTAGTCTATAGTCTAGTCTATAGTCTAGTCTATAGTCTAGTCTATAGTCTAGTCTATAGTCTAGTCTATAGTCTAGTCTATAGTCTAGTCTATAGTCTAGTCTATAGTCTAGTCTATAGTCTAGTCTATAGTCTAGTCTATAGTCTAGTCTATAGTCTAGTCTATAGTCTAGTCTATAGTCTAGCTATAGTCTAGTCTATAGTCTAGTCTATAGTCTAGTCTATAGTCTAGTCTATAGTCTAGTCTATAGTCTAGTCTATAGTCTAGTCTATAGTCTAGTCTATAGTCTAGTCTATAGTCTAGTCTATAGTCTAGTCTATAGTCTAGTCTATAGTCTAGTCTATAGTCTAGTCTATAGTCTAGTCTATAGTCTAGTCTATAGTCTAGTCTATAGTCTAGTCTATAGTCTAGTCTATAGTCTAGTCTATAGTCTAGTCTATAGTCTAGTCTATAGTCTAGTCTATAGTCTAGTCTATAGTCTAGTCTATAGTCTAGTCTATAGTCTAGTCTATAGTCTAGTCTATAGTCTAGTCTATAGCTATCTTAGTTAGTCTATAGTCTAGTCTATAGTCTAGTCTATAGTCTAGTCTATAGTCTAGTCTATAGTCTAGTCTCTAGTCTAGTCTATATAGTCTAGTCTATAGTCTAGTCTATAGTCTAGTCTATAGTCTAGTCTATAGTCTAGTCTATAGTCTAGTCTATAGTCTAGTCTATAGTTAGTCTATCTTTCTAGTCTATAGTCTAGTCTCTAGTCTAGTCTATAGTCTAGTCTATAGTCTAGTCTATAGTCTAGTCTATAGTCTAGTCTATAGTAGTCTATAGTCTAGTATAGTCTAGTCTATAGTCTAGTCTATAGTCTAGTCTAATAGTCTAGTCTATAGTCTAGTCTATAGTCTAGTCTATAGTCTAGTCTATAGTCTAGTATATAGTCTAGTCTATAGTCTAGTCTATAGTCTAGTCTATAGTCTAGTCTATAGGCTAGCTATAGTCTAGTCTAGTAGTCTAGTCGATAGTCTAGTCTATAGTCTAGTCTATAGTAGTCTATAAGTCTAGTCTATAGTCTAGTCTATAGTTAGTCTATAGTCTATAGTCTAGTCTATAGTCTAGTCTATAGTCTAGTCTATAGTCTAGTCTATAGTCTAGTCTAGTCTAGTCTATAGTCTAGTCTATAGTCTAGTCTATAGTCTAGTCTATAGTCTAGTCTATAGTCTAGTCTATAGTCTAGTCTATAGTCTAGTCTATAGTCTAGTCTATAGTCTAGTCTATAGTCTAGTCTATAGTCTAGTCTATAGTCTAGTCTATAGTCTAGTCTATAGTCTAGTCTATAGTCTAGTCTATAGTCTAGTCTATAGTCTAGTCTATAGTCTAGTCTATAGTCTAGTCTATAGTCTAGTCTATAGTCTAGTCTATAGTCTAGTCTATAGTCTAGTCTATAGTCTAGTCTATAGTCTAGTCTATAGTCTAGTCTATAGTCTAGTCTATAGTCTAGTCTATAGTCTAGTCTATAGTCTAGTCTATAGTCTAGTCTATAGTCTAGTCTATAGTCTAGTCTATAGTCTAGTCTATAGTCTAGTCTATAGTCTAGTCTATAGTCTAGTCTATAGTCTAGTCTATAGTCTAGTCTATAGTCTGGTCTATAGTCTAGTCTATAGTCTAGTCTATAGTCTAGTCTATAGTCTAGTCTATAGTCTAGTCTATAGTCTAGTCTATAGTCTAGTCTATAGTCTAGTCTATAGTCTAGTCTATAGTCTAGTCTATAGTCTAGTCTATAGTCTAGTCTATAGTCTAGTCTATAGTCTAGTCTATAGTCTAGTCTATAGTCTAGTCTATAGTCTAGTCTATAGTCTAGTCTATAGTCTAGTCTATAGTCTAGTCTATAGTCTAGTCTATAGTCTAGTCTATAGTCTAGTCTATAGTCTAGTCTATAGTCTAGTCTATAGTCTAGTCTATAGTCTAGTCTATAGTCTAGTCTATAGTCTAGTCTATAGTCTAGTCTATAGTCTAGACTATAGTCTATTCTATAGTCTAGTCTATAGTCTAGTCTATAGTCTAGTCTATAGTCTAGTCTATAGTCTAGTCTATAGTATAGTCTATAGTCTAGTCTATAGGCTATTCTATAGTCTAGTCTATAGTCTAGTCTATAGTCTAGCTCTATAGTCTATTCTATAGTCTAGTCTATAGTCTAGTCTATAGTCTAGTCTATAGTCTAGTCTATAGGCTAGTCTATAGGCTAGTCTATAGTCTAGTCTATAGTCTAGTCTATATTCTAGTCTATAGTTAGTCTATAGTATAGTCTATAGTCTAGTCTATAGTCTAGTCTATAGTTCTAGTCTATAGTCTAGTCTATAGTCTAGTCTATAGTCTAGTCTATAGTCTAGTCTATTAGCTATAGTCTAGTCTAGTCTAGTCTATTAGTCTATAGTCTAGTCTATAGTCTATCTATAGTCTAGTCTATAGTCTAGTCTATAGTCTAGTCTAAGTCTAGTCTATAGTCTAGTCTATCGTTTCTAGTCTATAGTCTAGTCTATAGTCTAGTTATTAGTCCTAGTCTATAGTCTAGTCTATAGTCTAGTCTATAGTCAGTCTATAGTCTAGTCTATAGTCTAGTCTATAGTCTAGTCTATAGTCTAGTCTATGTCTAGTCTATAGTCTAGTCTATAGTCTAGTCTATAGTCTAGTCTATATTAGTCTATAGTCTGTCTATAGTCTAGTCTATAGTCTAGTCTATAGTCTAGTCTATAGTCTAGTATAGTCTATCTAGTCTAGTCTGTAGTCTAGTCTATAGTCTAGTCTATAGTCTAGTCTATAGTCTAGTCTTTAGTCTAGTATATAGTCTAGTCTATAGTCTAGTCTATAGTCTAGTCTATAGTCTAGTCTATAGTCTAGCCTATAGTCTAGCCTATAGTCTAGTCTATAGTTTAGTCTATAGTCTAGTCTATAGTCTAGTCTATAGTATAGTCTTTAGTCTAGTCTTTAATCTAGTCTATAGTCTAGTCTATAGTCTAGTCTATAGTCTAGTCTATAGTATAGTCTATAGTCTAGTCTGTACAAATGTCTCTATTATCAATGGCTTTTGTCGAAATCATAATCATTTAAGAAATAAATAATTGTTTTACACCGATAGAGTCGTTTTAATTTTAACAAACCTTTTATTTGAAATATTTAATAAATTTATTCCATGAGAAGGCAAACAGCACTTTCAATAATTTCAATTAAATTCTTTTAAACACCAGCGGGCGCTCACACCCAAAAACTTCAAGGAAACAAAAGTTATTACACTCTTAAAACAAATTTTTTGTATTTTTTATTAAGGCCTTTAGGCACACTTTCTTTTCATTCTTAATACGTTTAAGAAAGGCAATTGTTATGCTTTTGTGTGAAGTAAGTATCTTTTTTTATGAGTTTATTACTTTTTTTGTTGTTGAAAACGTAATTTTTATTTTAACTGTTGTATTATATGCCTATAAAGCATTTCCGGTTCTTAACAGCACGATTTTTAAAGGATATCTAACTGTTGTTTGGTGTTAGCAATGGTTTTTTATATGGCAATGAGAACAGTTATGACTTGAACTGTTCTCTGTATCCTTTGCACTTTCTCTCTATATTGTTTTAAGAAAGAAAACTTTACTCTCTTTGCTCCTAATTGAGCAAAAATAAACAGTTTCATTTGGGAACAGTTAGTAATACAATTGCTACAGTTTATCAGAAGTTAATACTAAAAATTTAAACTTATTTCATGTTACTATTTAGTCCATATATGAGGAAAATTTTGTACTTTCTCAGAATTGCCTATTGGCATAATTAAAGCATAATCGTATATATTCGTATGAGAACAAAAATATGTTTTAAAGATTTAAGTTTGAAGTCTTTGAAATTTAAAAAAAAAAAAATTCCCTTGAAACTGTAATCTAATATTGCTACCCTGCTGAACAAAACAAATTGCTATACTAAGGTGCTGTAGCATTTCCGAGAACAATAAATATCATATTCAAGACAAAAAGAAATAAAAGCAGAAGAGCACAAAACAAAATAACTGTTGCTTAGTATCTGGCTTTAGCATTGACCCTGTTACCAACTTTTTTGTGGTTGTCGTTTAAGGATGTCATGTTCAAGGTTTTTTAATGAAAATGATACAAAACAAATACAGTATTGTTTGAAACATAAGCTACTTTTAGCGATAAAGTTGGAAGTTTTAATTTTTTTTACTTCTTGAATAAATTAAATTGTTTTATATCTTTTTTATATTTAAAGAAAGCTATACATAAGTCTTAGGTTGTCACAAAAGACCTCTTAGATTTTAAACAACACTGTATCTTTATACGATTATAAACAGAAAATCAAATATCTCTGTATCTTTTGTTCGAAGGTGGCCAATTTGCTTTTCACTTTCTTTCTGCTTGTCAGTCTGTTTTCACATTTATGAAAAGTGCATAAGTTGTTTGAATGTGACATGAAACAACTTGCAAAATCTCAAGAAATTAGTTCGATAGAAACTTGTTTTGACAATTATTAGTCTGTCAATAGATAAGTAAATAAATCATTAGTGCAGTCCCAAATGAGAGTTACTTATGCTCAAGACGAATGTTATAATTTAGTTTATTCAAAGACACCATATCTCCAATGTTTGTCTTACTTCAATATCTGGTGAGTTGGATCAAAGGATTAAAAGATCCTTCTTTGACTAAACTATAGACTAGGCTACAGACTAGGTTATAGACTAGGTTATAGACTAGAACATAGACTAGGTTATAGACTAGATTATCGACTAGACTATAGACTAGGCTATAGACTAGCTATAGAACAGACTATAGACTAGACTATAACTAGACTATAGACTAAACTATAGACTACACTATAGACCAGACTATACACTAGAATAAAGAATATATATATATATCTATAGACTATATGTAGACCTAGACTATAGATTAGACTATAAACTAGACTATAGACTAGACTATAGACTAGACTATAGACTAGACTATAGACTAGACTATAGACTAGACTATAGACTAGACTATAGACTAGACTATAGACTAGACTATAGACTAGACTATAGACTAGACTATAGACTAGACTATAGACTAGACTATAGACTAGACTATAGACTAGACTATAGACTAGACTATAGACTAGACTATAGACTTAGACTAGACTAGACTACTAGACTAGACTATGACTAGACTAGAGACTAGACTATAGACTAGACTAGAGACTAGGACTATAGACTAGACTATAGACTAGACTATAGACTAGACTATAGACTAGACTATAGACTAGACTATAGACTAGACTAGAGACTAGACTATAGACTAGACTATGCGACTAGACTATAGACTAGACTATAGACTAGACTATAGACTAGACTATAGACTAGACTATAGACTCTAGACTATAGACTAGACTATAGACTAGACTATAGACTAGACTATCGACTAGACTACTGACTAGACTATAGACTAGACTATAGACTAGACTATAGACTAGACTATAGACAGACTATAGACTAGACTATAGACTAGACTATAGACTAGACTATAGACTAGACTATAGACTAGACTATAGACTAGACTATAGACTAGACTATAGACTAGACTATAGACTAGACTATAGACTAGACTATAGACTAGACTATAGACTAGACTATAGACTAGACTATAGACTAGACTATAGACTAGACTATAGACTAGACTATAGACTAGACTATAGACTAGACTATAGACTAGACTATAGACTAGACTATAGACTAGACTATAGACTAGACTATAGACTAGACTATAGACTAGACTATAGACTAGACTATAGACTAGACTATAGACTAGACTATAGACTAGACTATAGACTAGACTATAGACTAGACTATAGACTAGACTATAGACTAGACTATAGACTAGACTATAGACTAGACTATAGACTAGACTATAGACTAGACTATAGACTAGACTATAGACTAGACTATAGACTAGACTATAGACTAGACTATAGACTAGACTATAGACTAGACTATAGACTAGACTATAGACTAGACTATAGACTAGACTATAGACTAGACTATAGACTAGACTATAGACTAGACTATAGACTAGACTATAGACTAGACTATAGACTAGACTATAGACTAGACTATAGACTAGACTATAGACTAGACTATAGACTAGACTATAGACTAGACTATAGACTAGACTATAGACTAGACTATAGACTAGACTATAGACTAGACTATAGACTAGACTATAGACTAGACTATAGACTAGACTATAGACTAGACTATAGACTAGACTATAGACTAGACTATAGACTAGACTATAGACTAGACTATAGACTAGACTATAGACTAGACTATAGACTAGACTATAGACTAGACTATAGACTAGATTATAGACTAGACTATAGACTACTATAGACTAGACTATAGACTAGACTATAGACTAGACTATAGACTAGACTATAGACTAGACTATAGACTAGACTATAGACTAGACTATAGACTAGACTATAGACTAGACTATAGACTAGACTATAGACTAGACTATAGACTAGACTATAGACTAGACTATAGACTAGACTATAGACTAGACTATAGACTAGACTATAGACTAGACTATAGACTAGACTATAGACTAGACTATAGACTAGACTATAGACTAGACTATAGACTAGACTATAGACTAGACTATAGACTAGACTATAGACTAGACTATAGACTAGACTATAGACTAGACTATAGACTAGACTATAGACTAGACTATAGACTAGACTATAGACTAGACTATAGACTAGACTATAGACTAGACTATAGACTAGACTATAGACTAGACTATAGACTAGACTATAGACTAGACTATAGACTAGACTATAGACTAGACTATAGACTAGACTAGACTATAGACTAGACTATAGACTAGACTATAGACTAGACTATAGACTAGACTATAGACTAGACTATAGACTAGACTATAGACTAGACTATAGACTAGACTATAGACTAGACTATAGACTATAGACTATAGACTAGACTATAGACTAGACTATAGACTAGACTATAGACTAGACTATAGACTAGACTATAGACTAGACTATAAACTAGACTTTAGACTAGACTTTAGACTAGACTTTAGACCAGACTATAGTCTAGACTTTAGACTAGACTTTAGACCTGACTAGACTATAGACTAGACTATAGACTAGACTATAGACTAGACTATAGACTAGACTATAGACTAGACTATAGACTAGACTATAGACTAGACTATAGACTAGACTATAGACTAGACTATAGACTAGACTATAGACTAGACTATAGACTAGACTATAGACTAGACTATAGACTAGACTATAGACTAGACTATAGACTAGACTATAGACTAGACTATAGACTAGACTATAGACTAGACTATAGACTAGACTATAGACTAGACTATAGACTAGACTATAGACTAGACTATAGACTAGACTATAGACTAGGCTATAGACTAGGCTATAGACCAGGCTATAGACTAGGCTATAGACCGGACTATAGACCAGACTATAGACCAGTCTATAGACTAGACTGTATACCAGACTATAGACTATAATGTGGACGAGACTATAAACTAGACTATATACTAAAGTGTTATAAGGGTGCGTAAAACAGGCCCCTTAAAAATTATATTATTTATCATTTATTATTTCTATTTCTATTTGTTTTTTTTTTTTTTTTTTTTTTTTTGTATTTCCTTCAGTAAAGATTTTTGTCAACAAAATTCACAATGTGCTTCGGTTGCTATTTTCACCAAATGATAGAAAACTTTTCAATGCATTTGTATAATATAATTATGAAAAGTGAAAATAATTTTCGCACAAAATAAATTGCAAATAAATAAACAATTTTTTTTTGGCATTGTTTGTGACCTACTTTATTCATTTTTGTGGAAACCTTGAAACTTCAGTTTGAATTTTTTTCTCCATGAAAAAGTTTTTTGCGTAGTTGGCACAGACACTTTTTATGTAAATGAAGCAAGTTGTTATGTATAAACATTTTACTCCATAGCACTTCAATAAATTTTTAGCAAATCAAGGTTATTGATTGAAAAAAGGAATTCTAGTGATCTAGAAAATCTTATCTAGGACTTGCAAGAAAAGGACTTGTGAAAATTTGTACTGCAGATCCTAAATAGACCTTGCAGATAATTTTTTTGGAAACTTGTATTTTAAATTTATTTTAAATTTGCCATAAAATATCCTATTTTCTACAGACACAATTATAAATAAGTGTGTCAAAAATTGTTTTTTTTACACAACAATTGAAATATCCAAATTCTAAAGAAATGTGTAATTTCTGAGAAATATAACGATACGAAAACCTCTTGAAAACATTATGACCTTTAACGCTTATTTGTATATTTTATTATGATTTTTCTAAATGTTTTCTAGTA